GAAAGCAAACAGGTAAACAGGAGCTTTGCTTAAAGCTTCTCACATAGCCAAACCCTCTTCCAAGAAGTGTTCTTGAAGTACACCAAGAGCTCACGACAGGATGGTTTCACCAGAGACTTCTTGCAACACCAAAAAGTGAGAAGCAAGCTCAGGAGTCAGTATCGGAACATGCCCGTCCCATGTGCACCCGAGCATGCGTCCCCTCCCAGGTAGGCTCTGATTGTTCACTCCTTTCCTGTCTCAGAAGAACACAAGTGCTGAAAAAGAAACTATTTCTGAAGCAGTGAAGGAGATATGTCCATTTCTTGTCACTGCACATATGCAAGACCAAGCAAAACACTGTGAAGAGCACTGGAGCAGGGCCATGTTATTTCTGTACTGGGCCTCTGTCCCCACGACAGGAGCGAGACAGATCTGGATACTTTTCTGTCAACAGGCACTCACAAAGATAAATTTGTCAATGTGACCCATAATAAAGAGGTATCTAAGATAAAGGTAACATCAGTTTCTAGACATGAACGATCCATCTTCTTTAGCTCTGGAGAAAAAACCCTAAGCAGCTTGCTCAGAGTTTGCACCAGGCGTGCACACTGGTGCTGCCAAACTATCTGCAGTTTTAAAAGATGCGTAGATGTGGCACTTAAAGCTAGTCTAGTGCTGGACTTGGACTTTCCATGTTAACAGATGGATTCAATGATCTTAAGGGTCTTTTCCAACCTAAACAATTCTATGACTCTGTGATGCTGATGATAAATGTCCTGGAAATGCCCATGCCATTAGCCAGTTGCTTCCCAAGATCTAGTCTTGATTAAGTAAGCCAAGGACAGTTTTGCAATTCATATTAGTGAGGTCAATTGACGCTTGCACCTTGTTCAGATAATGTCTTGCATTGAGGAAACACTTCAGTACAGATGAATTACAATTACAGATGAAACTATTAGTGTTCTCTGAGCACAGTCCTCATGCTTTGAAGCTCCCTAATTGCTCCATTATTCACAGATTTAAAGCACAGTTCTCAAAGGTTAAGTAGAGGTTATAAACAGCAGTAACTAAATAAATTTTGTTGCTGTGATTTCCAAACAAAACTAAGGAGAGTTTCAGAAACGTAAGAGTTACAGACAGTGTTACAACACTGATATAGGGAAAGCTGTATATTTTCATTTCTGTGTGGTCACAGCTCATGTGGCAGATTTCATGAGTTCAAGAAAAACATGTCCTTCAGTAGTCCCTCTACTGCCCTTTCCAGCATTCCAGTTCAGAAAAAAACCTGACTTTTTATGCTAAAGAGATACAAAAATTGCCTCTAAACAATGGCATCATCTGAAGACTTTCAGACTACCAAACTTCATTGTACCAAAAAATATTCATACCGTGAAGAAAATAAGATTTTCATAAAACCTCGGTGCTGCATTTAGTCACAAGCAAGGAAATCCCTGTAAGGAACTGAAAATCCATTCTATATTTAGCATCAGCTTAATAGGATAATGTGGCTACGGTTTACTACTATTCAGACTGATGGAGTTTTGCATTGTTTCACTGAAAAGGCCAGGCTTCTTTAAGAAGTCTGATCTTGCTGCTTTTGCAAATAAGCTGTCTTAAGGTCAAGGGGAACAACTTCCACTTTCTTCCTTTGGTACTTCATTATCTTATGTAAGTTTAATGGTGCTCTGAGGAGGCCAACAGAAAATTGTCTGCTTTCCGTGTTTTAAAGAAAAGCTGCTCGTAACATTCTGCAAAACAAAAAGCTGTTAAGGTACAGTCATCTATTACAGCCTCAGTGTTTCCCAAGGAGCATCTTTTTCTGCACAGTATAATTCATGTTTGCAATCCTATAAGAATCATACAATCACTAAGTTTGGAAAAGACCTCTAAGATAATTGAGTCCAACCATTAAGCCAGCACTGCCTTGTTCACTACATTCCCCAGTACCACCTCTACAAGACTTTTAAATACCTCCAGCGATGGTGATTCCACCACTTCCCTGGGAAGCCAGTTCCAGTTTCAACTTTAAATAGTACTCCCTGACATGCTCTCGTATCTTATCCCCAAATCTCATTTGAGGAGAAAACTGAGAGCTTCATGTGGTAACAAAATGTAGCAGTGCTCTAACCAGATGCAGAACACAAAAGGTACATATCCTAAAAGTTTCAGATTGCCTAGCTGTGACCCGGGTTTAAACTGATCTCCAGTCTTCCACCTGCAAATAATACAGAAGATGTTACATGAAATGCATAATGTTTTTGTGCCAAATTTTCAAGAAGTGTCCACCTCCAACTTCTTTTTTTTTAGTATGCTAGAATATTGCCATCTGCGAATGTGAAGCTGTGAAAGCATGAATCTGAAATCTGTCAGCTGTTCATCAACATGCTCGTAATAAAAAAATGCAAGTTACAGAAGGTTGGGTTGTGGGGAGGAGGTTGAGGAGGGTGGGGGAAGCAYGCATATTTTGCCAGAAGGCAAGGAGAAGCTGCACCTAGACCAAACTCGGGATGCTTCTGCAGGCTGTGCTGCAGAGACAGGAGCTCTGCACCACTCATGCCTGGCTGGAGGGCATCCCTGCCTTCCCATGGATACAGCATGTGATAGATCCCTGTCTCTGGGGCTAGAAATCAGACACCTCTGCACTTTCAGTATGCCCCAGCGATATTCACTGAAGTAAGAGAGAAATGCTCGTCATGGCACACCAGCTAGGTACCCAACACCMAGCACTAACAGTTCAGTATTTGCTCCTGAGCCAACTCATGACTTTTAAAACCCACCAATTTTAAAATAACTTGTCTCTTGGGAAATTAAATAAATAAAGACTATTTCCAAGGGGGAAATAATGTATTATAGAAATATTAATATTTCTGATAACTTTGACTTGATAAAAACCTTTTGTCTTTTTTTGTAATTTCTTCTCATTCAGTTAGTTTTCAAAGGCTCTATTATGGAATCGTTCAAGCCACTGCTTGTAATACAGCATATTAATAAATTAATTTTCTTTTTCTAATAGTTTTCCRTTCCAATTTCCTTTATCTGACTTCTGCATGATTTTTTCAAATGATAAAATGCTCTCTTCTTTCATATAGTTAATTCATTCATGACTTTTAAAATTCATATTTCACATTAACTGTGGTTTGCTCATGTCAGATTGAGCCCTTCCCCCTATAGTTTTCAGTTACCCATCTGAACAGATTCCTTAAATTTCCTTCTCCTTAAGCAGCTTTAATTTAATCCAGACCTTTTGTAAGAGAACTTTCATAAATAGTAATTATTTCACACATGATAAAGCCCCCGATTACACAGGATTATATTAATTATAATTCGCTCCATGCTTCTTAGCAATTCTGGCACCAGTTTACGGTACACACCTATAAATACTTATAATGCAGTGTCTCAAAATTTGCAGCAATAGAAACATTTTCTCAGTGCTGAATGAGGCCTCATAAGAACAATAACTGCCTTCAAAGTCCAAACATCCCATAATCTACTCATCTCCACAACACATCACAGCTTTTGATCTTTGCATAAACCCTGTTGTTGCATGTCAAAAGAACGCTCATTTTTGATATCTTGACTTTACAATTTTAAAAGGCAAATGAGCAACAGCCTCTCCTAAATTGTCTTAGTGKATGCATTGCTTATAAACTCCTTGTTTTCCAGCTTTGATTTCTAACTCTTAAGTTATACTTATTCAAGGATTAAATAGGTTTTTAGACTCCTAATTCAAGCCCAGAGATGGCCACAACTACCCTTTGGTGGTTATTTGATCCCCAGAATACCCATACGGCATCTTCCTGCTTGCACCAAAACTCCTTTCTCCAGGTGCAATTTTGCTTCTGATCGTTGCATCTACTTTCCTTTAAAGGATAGCCAAAAGGGGAAGTGAATAAGAATGTGTATCCCAATCTTTATGTTATATCTGACAGAGGAACTGCAGTACCCTGAAGAGTGAGGTTTTGCCTTACTTAGCCTAAGAAAGTTAAACCTTGGTACCCACCTGTAATGAAAATGCCCTTTCACTCCTTCCTGACCCCAGAAGCAGGTGAGGAACAGGAGAGAGCTGGTGGTTAAGCCAACTTTTCCTCCTAGAATAGTCAGAGTTGGGTTGTAGTTTCAAGATACATGAATAGTTACAAGACTCACCAGCAGCTTGTCCTTCAGGTGTGATTTAAAAGAAAGCATTTAAACATGTGCTTGGTACTCAAGGACAAAAATACTGCTGAGTCCCGGAAATTCTGGACACAAAGTCCTTTGTCGGTGCAGATCCATCCAGGCTTGTTACCATCCAGAGACAGTAGAAGATGTCCGACATCATCTGGCCATCAATGTTTTCTGCAAACTTGACCAACAAAATGCACCCTCGTGCCCTCATGCCATCTGGGGACTGTCAATGTCCCTGGGCAGCACTGAGGGAAACCAGACACCTCTCTCTAGGAGCTTGGGGCAGAATCTCCCCGGGTGACTGGACTGGAGCTGGCAGTGAGCCTTGTGCTGGCTGACCAGTACCCCTCGTCATCACTTGGGTATTGCTCACAATCACCGTACAAAAAACTTTTATGGGCAAACTCAGCCCAGWGAGCTTTCCTGATATATCACTGTAACACATTTTCTAAAACTTGAACACCTGTTTTCTGATCCCATTTTCTGGAACCGTTCTYCCATTACAGCACATATGCCAAAATACTGTACTACAGCCTCTAAGATCATATGTAAAAGCTGTACTAGCCACCTCACCCCTCTCAGGCACTCTGCTTGTGTATTTGGGGATTTCTCATTGCCTGAAATACATTATAAAATAAATTTTAAGCAACCTTTTATCACCTCCTTTTTAGGTTGACTTCACACCAGGATGCAATAAAACTCCCATCAGACTTAAAATACGCAGCCTGACCGCAATATCCACCTGAGGCATAGGGTCATTAACAAGCTGATAGATTTTCAATTGTTGCAGAAGCCAGCTCACGCTACTTTTGAATTAGCTCCTCATTTATTCCAAGAAGCTGGTTTGAGAACTGGAATGGTAAGTGGCAGGCAGGGGACCGATACAGCTAAAGAAAGCGCATGAGCCAGTTCAGAAGATGTGTTCCAAGTTCCTCCCCAGGTCTTTTGCCTTTTATTCTCCAATTCAGGTATTACATTTCCACTGGTTTCCACCAGGATTGTGCATGCACCTTGACATGTTCACAGAAGTTCCACGATACAGAGTTTCACAACTGGGACAGGTCCCTACAATCGGGACACCAGGGTGACAAAACAGATTCTGGAGAATTTCCCACTGAATAGGATGGGGAGAACATAATTACCACATCGTAGCACTACAATGTCTCATAAACACAGAATAGACTAGATCCATTTACCACAAAAATCACAGAAAGTAACTTATCAAAGAATATATATTTTATGTAAAATATACATTTTTAGAATATAATTTTAATACAACTTTTATACTTATTGATGTCGGGTTTGCAATACTTTGAATTAAAAAAAAAAAAAACCACAAAATAGTCTTGCTGCCAGAATTTTATTTCTGATAATACTTATAGTTTGAGATAACAATGAAAGAAGACTGTGTGCTGTGAACAAAGTCAGTGATGTTTGTCTGCAGTCACATTTTTGTTATGAAAGTGAAAAGCAAACTTAGRACTTGGCATGTACACTAGAATTCATAACAATTTAGGTCATGGCAAAATGAGAAAGCAAGGACTTATGCAAACCTACTCTGGTCAAATTTGTGACTTTTGCAATATATGCCATTAGTATGACAGGAGTCAAGACAGATGTAGTTTACATCACTATCATTACAAAGCGTGTCTTTGTATGATCCACAGCACAACTTACTGCAGGAACCAGGAATAATAAACACAGGGGTGTGGGTCTTTGCATGGAGCCTTAGCAATGATGACATGAATTCAGCTTTCCTTGATATAGATAAAAACTGATATTCCATGCACGCACGTTTTATTTACACTGACTCATCAACAGTGACTTGTCACCCCTTCCTCTGGCAGCAGTAATTACGAGCGGTCTTTCATCTTCTTTAACAACCTCTACTTCGCACGCAAACTCTCAGTGACTTCCTCAAGGTGTCAGTTGTTTATCAGGGCCCATTCAGCAGCAGCAGTCTCTTTCCAGTACARTCCTTGGTATGGCTAAATTCCATTGTCCCTTTTTCAGCAGTCAAAAATCCATGATAAATTCTGTACAACACTGTAGTTAATATAACAGCAGCACCAGATATTATATTAATTCATTTGCTAAAAGCTGTTTGCAATTATCTCTCTATTGACAATATTTTACCAAAACTAAATCAATGTACATCTCTAAATATCAGAAATGTATATTTTGATAAATACATTATTGTACAAGAATTCTGACATGCAGGTCATGCTATGGGTTAGGCTATATACAGAAGAACATGTTACATGGTCAACAATAAGTTGTATTTCTTTTCCTAACAAAAAATAAAACATGACAATCAGGTATTATTCAACAATTTCAAGGATCTCTTAAGCTTTCAGTCATATGGTCTCCCCCATGTAGTTCTAAAACTCTAGGGTAATTTTTCCTCACCAGCCCAGAACCTCAAATTTGCCATTGCATTTGTCCTGTTGCATAAACAGAGGTTAATATTGAATTAAAAAAGCCACTAGAAAAGATACAGTTTCAAAATTGTAATGAATGCTGGTTGCTAAGAGGAAGATTGATGCAATAGGCAACCGGTCAGTGCTGAAAAGCCGCTACTAAATCTCACTCGAAAAATCTTAGGAGTGCACACAAGTTAGTCTAGACAATACTAACTGCACTTGAAAAATATGCATATTTCTATCTATACACACATGTATAGTCCATATGAAAAAAAAAAAAAGAGAAAAGGGAAAAAAATGTTCTCAGTTCAACTCAAAAGAAGGGGGCATTTTAACGGTATCTCTGTGCTTTATGGAGACAGATGGAGAATACAAGGAGACAGGTTGCAAAACAGACAGACAAACAACATATAGGACAAAGCACCTCAGAAAACATTGACTGAAGAAATTTTTGAAGCCCATGATCCAGAGGTATAAGGCTGGTCAAAAACCCGACTTGAGAACTACTACCCTCTTACAGCGGTACAAAAAAGCCCCCAATAATCATTTCAATTTCACTTGGTACTCAGCTTCTTAAAATGTTGAAGAACCCTGGAGTAGAGAAATTACTACAGTACCAAGCAGCACTTGCTAGATTAAAATTGCAAGTCTGGATGGCGTTTACCTTTCTTGCATGTTTTGTGCCTTCCCCAAGCCATTAAGAAAGAGATCTGGCTTCTGCTTGCGTGTAACCAGTAATGACAACCTCTTTGCAGTTATCTGTGTGCAAACAACCGGAGACATTCAGAACTCTGATACAGCAATCCAGTACCAAAATAAGTCAATCACAAAATAAAGTCGTTTATAAACAAGTAGATAGTTAAAAAATAAAGGAAAAGGTTAAACAAAGAAAAACAATCCCACATGCAGACCAGTTTATCAGTGCTTTCATTTCAGCAGGATGGTAACAATGTGAGAACACACATCCAGAGCCCTCTGTGGTCTCCACGATCGCCAACACTGCTTGTCAGGTGATGGAGACAGGATGGTCCATGCAAATGAGCAGACCCTTCAGAGCAGACATCTTCAGAATGGATTAGAGTCACAAGAAATGGAAGTTCAATGGAGTGACAATTACTTGGAAGCACATTATTTTAAGTAAATCTCCCTGAAAATATGTTTATTTATTGAATTTACTGGACAACGGCATTCACTAACTGTCCTTTTATTGCCACAGGAACGTAGGACAATATAGTAGATAAAAGGAGAAATGCTACCTGAAGTAATCTTTAAAAGCCAAGACAAAAATCTTCAGCTACCCAAGTGGCTTGTCTTACTACTGACAGTTGTATCATGCAGGAGCTGGACCATCTTTGTGGACCCTACGCTTAATGCTACATTTATTTCCAACATGTGGTAAACAGTATTTGATTTACTACTATGTAGCCGATTGATGCCACCTGGTTTACAGGATGGAAGGGATGGGAGACCGAGAGCGCCTTAGAGGACAAGGTGAGCTGTAGGGTGATGTTACTGGAGACAGTCGCAGAGCATTGCCTGTCAAGCCAGCTATGTTGTTTAAGCTTCGAGATTTTTCATAGCCTTGTGTGAGAAAATGCACAGACATCAGTTGAATTCAGCCAAAAAATAGACAAAGACAAACAATACAATGTAATGTAATCCAAGGAGCTATCAGGGACTCAGAGGGAATCTGCCTGCAAAAGAACTCAGTGCTGAGACACATTACTTCTGAAAGATATTATGAAATAAAATTATTTACAATTTAATGCATCTATTTTTCCCCCCCAAAAAATTTAACAGACTGCCACACAAGAGTTCTGACCTGCTCTTTCACTTCCTTCCACTTAATAGCACTCTGTGGGCTTCAGCAGGGCTGCACAGAGCACAAGATAAAGGACCCCACCAAGGTGACTGAGCTATCTGGCTAMGCATAATCAAAAACCCATTAAGACAGACTACAGAAACTGTTAGAATTATACAATCTCTACTAAAGTCAATTTCTAATAAAGGACAATTTTTTCTTTAAAATAAATAAACCAGAAACCAGATAAATTTTATGCGGTATGTGAGAATCACTTTTGCAGAGGACTGAATCATAATCTGAAGCTTCATCTTCAGAAATATTAACCCTCAGACTTTGTTTCTAATTTTGAAGTCTAGTAAGACAGCAGAGTTCGACATATTTGTAAATGTCTCCTGAATGGCAAATATAAAATATTGAATTTGTGCTTCTTTTCCAGATGATTTGAGCAAAATCAATGGTATTAATCCATGTAAGCAAGTAGTAAATAATTAATCATTAAATGAGGCAACCACATAATGCTTCACAATTTGAAGGGAACATTGCACTGGCRGACATTTCTGTTCACATACACGGTCTAGCTACCTACTTTTGCCGCTATGGATTGTTTTCACCTTGTGGAGGCTATGCTGTAAACAATGAAAAAACTTGGCTATTCACTGCATCACTATCTTCATATTCAAGTATTTTCAGTAGCTCCTGAATAACCCCATTTGTTACGAACAGAATCTGCTCATCGGTTTGAAGAGAGATATCAGCAAGGAAAGACAACAGAGATTAAGCTGGGCCTTGCTCCTCAAATAGATGGATATGTTTCACTGCAAGCATCAGAAGCCTCACTGACTTCAATGGCACTACATATTTCCTTCAAGACAAATATGCATTTAAGCATTTGTCAGGTTAAGGTGTTCAGGTATAAATTGCTTACAGTGAAATAAATAATGAGACTTTTTCCACAGAAACTGTAAAATACCAATGACAAAAAAGTTAAACACTACATGGAATCTTGGCAAGCTTTTTCTTTTTTTTTTCTGATTTTAATGGCTACTGGCTCAAATTCCAGATCCCTAGGTAACTGCACCTTAATGAAAAATCGTATCTTAGGCTCTCCCCTTACAACAATTAACATATTTCTTATCTACTGAGTCTTGTATGCTATAAAACTATACTTAAAGCAAATGCATAATCTCATGTCTGCTAAAACATTGTGCAATGTTCTCTCCAGATGTCAAGTGCAGACTACACTGTGGTACTACACAGAATTCTGATACATTTCTGAAACAGTCTCCAATTTCTGAGTTTCTATCAGTGTTTATACAGATTAGAAAGAATTATGTTTGAAAAGGGAATTGAAGRGAAGAGCAATGCTAGTGTATATATTTAAACTCCCTGTAGAAATAAAGCTTATTAAAAAAATCCCCAAAATAATCAGGCAACTTTTTTACATAGAAACGAGGAAAGTAGTTTTTAAGATTATTTTCCTGCTACTCTTCTAATGATAACAGGAAAGAACTGATAGAGGAAGATGACAAAGATTACAAATAAAATAGAAACTCCTAAAAATGAAAACCAGACACACAAGATGAACAGAGAGAAACATTTGATCCAAACCCAGTACTTTTCAGGTATTTCAGTGGATCAGCTCTGAATCAGTATCATCTTGGAGACTGGAGATAAAATGCTAATGCAAAAAAGCTCAGATTAAACTATACTTGAACATAACTAAGACTCAACCAAGGAACAAACCAAACAAGAAGGATGTACCAAAAGAAATAAAGAAAGGAACGGGAAAAAATTACAAAAGTAGTAGATTTGATGTGTGAATGAAATTAAGCATTCAAACCCATTTGTATATTACTTGAAGACATTTTCTGTTCATGGGCTAACTTACCTACTCTGTACAAAATAGCCTCCAAAGCCAGTAGCTAGTACATTTCAGCCACAACTGAGATTATCATCAGAACAAGACAAAGAGCACATTTCTCATCAAAAAACTGTCCATTCTGAACTCAAGCCCCAGTTTTCCAGTAAAAACTACAGAACCATTTTCTTTTAAATCTAAATTTACAAATTAAGTTGTTCCAGGATAAAATATGCTTTACTGTTATATAAATACATCTTTAGTAGCTGATAGGTAACTTCTTTTATTATTTCTGATCTGTTCTAGTCATGGTTACTGCCATAACTTGATGAGTGAAGTCAAAAACCTGATCTTGCAAGATGCCATGGCAGTCTACCTTATCCAGTTGTTCTTGACCTCCTCAATGATTATTTCCATTAGAGATACTTTAAATAATCCTAGTTGTTGAGAAGACAGTATGAAATATACTCTCAGTGGAAAATGTAGTAAATCTGTGTGAAACCATGCTTGCAATGAATTTTCATTTAAGCGAAACATTATGTGCAGGGGTATGTAAAATGCCGGAGCACAGAGACAGTCATACTCTTTGCAAATACCATACACATGGAACTGCTTGTGTGTCTGCCTTCACAGGTTTAACTTACTGAGCTCAGGCTTTGAAGAGTAAAAAAGAGCATTTTCAGAACAACCCAAAGAGAATTCCTTTTAGAGAATATGGCTCTCTGGGACAGCTGTGGTTGCCATACACCAAGAAAGCTTAATAAAAAAAAAAAAAAAAAAAAAAAAAAAAAAAAAAAAAAAAAAAAAAAAAAGCCAGGAAAATCTCAGGCAAAAATATCCAGTGCCACATGGCCACTTCAGATGAACTCAGTTGAACAACAACACATCAGCACTCAGGAATGTAAAATCTCTTGGAATGGCACAATTTCAGAAGAATATAATTTGCCAAGAAACAAAACCAGCTCTTCTCTACAAAAATGGGAAGACTACCCCTGGCCCAGCTGACCTTAGGTTTGTGTCCTGATGTTAGGCTTGCAGCCACAGCCAGCAGCGGCCTGATGGGGTAAAACAGTCATGGGGGAGATACAAGTAAGAAACAGTTTTGCTGTTTCTTGAGCAGTGAGCAATCAGACTTGAGGAAGCTGAGTAACTAGAAAGGCATTTTTAGCACTTTGCAAGGTCAAGCATTGTTTCGCTACATAGTTAAATTATAGTTGGGTTAAACAGTCTTTTAGTATCAGTGGTATATTGGCAAGGGAAAAAATATTTTTTTTTTGCATTATAAGCACAAACTTTTATTCAAAAGAAATCTTAATAGCATCTCAGGATATGTTTTTTTATGTTCAGAAGAAAATTGTTGCTTACTTCTGACATTTCAACCTTTAACTGTATTCAGCTATAAATTTTGTTAAGTTGTTAAGAGCAGGACAAAGTTATAATATGATTAATTTGTCTTTTAGAATGACAAATTATGCCGAATGATGAGTGGTTGAATGAGCAAGGCCTGAATTGCAGGCTTTTCTATTAGAGATTACAGACAAATGAAGACATAAATGAAATGAGGGTCCAACATCAAGCACATTTTTGAAGACTAAAGGAGATGAGTGTTTCTAAAAGGAAAAGAATGACTAGGAGTAAAGAAAAAAAAAGATACATTGTGAGTATAGTCTTTCCTCTTAGAGAATTGTGCACATCATTTTACTCTAAGATGGTTTTTCACAAGCACATTGCTTAGTAACCTTTTACAATCTAATGAAAGAAGTCCATACCTTTCCTGATCCCTCCATCAGTAGCACACGTGTAATCACCTGTGGTCAGTAGGAAACATGTTCCCCCTCTTCTGTTTTTGTCTCTTGTACTAGAACGTCTGATGGGAGGGAGCCTTTCACCAGGTGAGAGTGGCTGCTCACTTTCTGCACTGTCTTCACCTGATAACACTGGTTAAAGCACCATGCCCATTTACAGACAATAATGAATGAGGAAATGAGACATCACAAAGAGCTTATGCTGAATGCCAGATATTCCCATCACTCAAAAAGTAGTTATAAAATAAGTCATTAGAAGAAAACAAGACTGCAATTCATCATTAATCAGTATAAAATGGCAAAAGGTATATTTTTTGTTCAGGAACGAATGATCTTTTGACTTTCTTGTTCTTCTAAAATTTATATAAAATTAGATTAAACTAACCTAAATTAAGAAATAGTCAAACCAAGGCTCACCTACTCTGGACTGTAACTTGTCAGAATGCCTTGGATATTTCAAACACTTATTTACTATTTTGGCTATTGTTTGTGCTAAAGAAGAGGTCATGTTAGGCATTTTTGCTTAGAATATATTGTTTAACTATTTAAAGACAACACCTCACCCAGAAGGGCTATATTTCCAACATTTGGCATTATACACTGTTTAGTAACACACTTAGCTTTCATTTCCGTATTTATTACACTTGCACTGCTTGTCATAATAAGTAACCAACATAAAATGCTTTCTTTGGTCTCTGTACTTTATTTTGTCAAATGGCAAAACTTGTACCTCTCCTGATCTGTCACTCCCAAAGGACTCTCTTTTAAAATTATCTACTATTTCAAATTCAGGCCACACTTGAAGGGAAAAAGTCTCAGTACAGCACGTAACTTCAGCTTTACCTTTGCATTTAAACCTGAGCATGGTTTTTTCCCAACTGAGAATGCAAAGGGCAAAATTCAAGCTTCAAAGTTTTGCACATAATTCATAGTGACTCTAATAACATTCTCTACCGAAAATAAAGCTGCAGTGCATGATGCGAGCGGTGGCACCACTGAAAAGGAAGACAACACTTTAAAATGGCTTCTTCTTGAATCTCTTTCTTTCTAACTTCAAAGATTATAACTCCTTGTAAATAAAGCCGTAGACACAAAAAGTGTCTGTCAGTTCTAATCACACTAAGCCTTCTCCATTCAGAACACCTTTAGTAGGACCTGATGGCATGAAAAAGTAGTTATCATTAACACTTTGAAGATGTTATCTCTAAGAGGGTACCAGTCAAAGCACTGAAAAACTAACTACATTTTACTGTCAATCTGAGTCTTTTCAAGCGTTTCCATCCTCTTATATATATTTAGGATGTTCAAAAAGCTGTGTTAACTTTGTRAACAGTAACTCGGAGTGTGAAACCGAGCTTCTTTGAACATAGATGCTATTCAGTAGCAGAGCAACAGATCGAAGAAGGATATTGTTCAGAGACCGATTTTCCAGGCTCTTCTTTTTAAAAACTAAATGTCAATTACTAATGACACCAGTCATGAGTGGTTTGCTCTTATTATTCTTTAGCAGCATTACAATAGGAGTGCACTGACTGGTATCTGAGCTTTATAAACAGATTGTGTTTGGCTTAAGATTAAATATGCTTAAGAAACAAATGAAAATATTCTTGATGCTAAAWTGTTTGTTTCAATTACACTGAGAGGTAAAATTTAGTCTTAAATTGCAACAGATTTGGAATATGCAGCAGTGGCTTGGAGGGGCTGAGGCTGTCATTTGATATGCAATTTTACTGAGCAAAGCACAAAATACTTCTTATTCATCATTTGGAACTCTAACAAATAAGGTAATAGARATCACAAAAATCAACTGTAAAAGCAATGATGGTGCTAAAGGCTGTCATTTGCTTTTTTCTTGACAAGATTTACATCAGCTATGCTAGTATAATTTAATGAATAGTAAATATCATGCAATGTTTCATCTAACACAGATGAAGGAAGTTCTTTTAGCCAGGGAAGCAGAATGCCAAATGGAAAGAAAACTAGAAAGAAAATTTCTTCCTATTTCCTTTGAGTGCTGGGCTTTGGATGTAAAGCACCTGCTCCTTTTAAATGACTGCTTCTTTGTAGGATCTTGCTTAACAGGCCACGATGTGGCACAGGCAAAGCTGACACAAGAGACAGACACTGAGGCAAAACACCATGGAGTCCAACAGGGTGGGACACGGTGGCTGCTCAAATAGTCACAGTCATGCAGAAAAACAGGAAACATCCATACAACGCAACAAACAACAGGCAAAAGAAAAGGTTGATATCATCAGCAGGAAAGCATTCTCAACAGAGCAAGCAAAACTGTATAGACCAGCTACATAGAGGTTTGGGAACATCACTATACCTATTTTGTCCTCTATGAGACTGACACACGCAAATGTTGGAGGGGAGAAGGGTGGGAGCTACATCTTCTCCTGGCAGAAAGACTGGCTGCTTTCTGACCCCTACCAAACATACTGGTCTATAAAGTGTTTTCAGAGAACATGCATTTCCAGTGGGGTCCTACCTGATGATCTGTTGTGCTCCATCATCTGGTTGTCCTTGCCCAGGCAGATGTCACCCTGCGTGCTATTGCAGGCCATGTTCAAGTCTGTCTTGCAGAAGGTGGGTGAGCTGGCTTGAGGAGCAGGAGGGATGTGCTTCTTTCGCTTCCTTGGCAGTTTTTGCTTTGCCATGGCCAGGGAGTAGTACATCCCAAAATTGTTAACTATCACAGGCACGGGCATGGCTATGGTGAGCACCCCCGCCAGCGCACACAGGGCTCCCACCAGCATGCCTGACCAAGTCCGTGGATACATATCCCCATATCCCAGGGTGGTCATGGTGACCACAGCCCACCAGAAGCCGATAGGGATATTTTTGAACTGTGTGTGTTCACTCGCTGATGGGTCATTAGGCTGGGCTCCCACCCGTTCTGCGTAGTAGATCATAGTGGCAAATATCAAAACACCAAGTGCCAGGAATATTATCAGCAGCAGAAATTCATTGGTGCTGGCTCGCAGAGTGTGGCCCAGCACCCTGAGGCCCACGAAGTGCCGGGTGAGCTTGAAAATCCGGAGGATCCTGACGAACCTTACCACCCTGAGGAAACCAAGCACGTCCTTAGCAGCTTTTGAGGAGAGCCCGCTCAGGCCCACTTCTAGGTAAAAGGGCAGGATGGCCACAAAGTCAATGATATTCAAGAGGTTTTTGATGAATTCAAGTTTGTTGGGAGAAAAAATAACGCGTACTAAAAATTCAAATGTAAACCATACCACGCAGACTCCTTCCACGTATGTCAGTGCAGGATCTGTCTCAATTTCATACTGCAGCACAGCTTCTGTCCCGTTGATGACCTGCTCAGTTTTGTTTATAATAGTATTGAAAGCCTCGTGTGTTTCCAGGCAGAAGGTTGTGATTGAAACTAAGATGAAGAATAAAGAGGCAAAAGCGATGAACTGAAACACAAAGAGATAAAAGAGACATCAGAACCACACAGCTCTTCACATTAATATTAACGATGTCACTGTTTATAGTAAAACTCTTACTCATTCATCCCCAAATGGCCGACAAATTCATATGCATGAAAAGTTCCATCTGGGCCAGAGGAGAGCAGCAGTCCGCTCTTACATGCAGGCCAGGAGTCCAGGAGCAGGAAAAGTCTTGGCAATGGGTACTRTGACAAAATGCAACTCATTACAAGAGTGGCAACAAATTCCTTAATCTGTGCTAAATTGTCTGAACTTGATTCAGTTGTCAAGGTGTCTTGCAAACAGCCCCTGTACTCACCAATCACAGCAACCTTTAAGGACAACCACCTCTCACCCAGTGGAAAATAGGGCTGACCATAATGTCTTGAGATTATGGTTCAGAATTCACACCTGTCTCCAAGAGCACTTTAGAGGGATCTAGGAGCAGATCCAAACTCTGGGCTTCCTTTGGATTTTCAATGATTCAAAAATTCAAGATACTTGCTGATGGAAAATGCCTTCTGCTACAGGTAGAGTTTGTTGTATAGCTTATTTTGTTTGTAGTCATCCTTCACTGATTCTCTTGGGCAGCACTAAAAGTAAATCTAGTAGAACTTCACAGACTGCGGTAACAGAGCTTTGCCACAGTCTTAGCATCCACAGTCGTCCTAACCAAGTTACCAATCCAGGACAATAAAAAGAAAAGGGAAATACAAATTCATTTCTAGTAGAGGCATGTGAATTGATAAAATACAGGTAAATAACCTGGAAACAGCCATCACAGAGGATTGTTTAGGAATTAAAAAGCATATACTGCCTGATCTTCATCTTGTAATCACAGTGAAGCATTGAGTAACAGAGAAAATCCAGGACAGGATCACAAAAATTAACAATGAGCCAAACAGCTAGAGTGGGAGATATATTTTCTTACACTGAGTAAAATACACAGAATTTGAAGGTGTTTTGAGATCAATTGTTCCTTTGCTACAATGGTTAACTTCTTTTCAATGACATTACCACCATATTAGCTAGCACTAAAACAGCAGTGGTGTGGTATATAAAGAACAGTATTTTTTATTTTTAATTTTCATTTAAATAAACATTTTAGAGACAATATCATCCCGAGGGAAAAAAGCATTCCAAAGACATGAAGATTTTTGAAAGTGTTAGGGGCCTGAAGAGGTAAAAAGATGCCTAAACAGGTTTTCAAAAATACCTAGTCCTATACATTACCACACTGAAATCTTGAATCTCATTGGAAAAAAGTAGTTGCAAGGCAGACAAAATAAAAGGCATAAGCAGCAATGTCTGTTCTGTCACTTCAATCCAGAATACAACATTGGGGTAAAACTGATTTTGTGTACTGAATACTGAATTTAGTAATAGCAGTTCCTGTTATGTGCCACAGGAACTCATTTTGGCTCCTACAATATGGAATGGCCASATTTTTCTAACACAGAACATTAGTTAGACAACAAAATATTGTCTCTACAACTTGTAGAGAGAATTCCTTTTATTCTGAAAACAAGCTTAAATTTTCAATGCAGGCCTGGCAAATTTATTACATTCAGATTCACGAGATGGATCTATGGAAAATCCCATGTAAAGACAACAAATATCAGATATTTGCAGCTTATTTATGGCTTCCTTTCCTCAGTCAATGAAAAAAAGTTATTACACCATGCCCTACAATTGCAAACACTCCAAATCTGGTACCCTTCAAAAAGGACTGACTCAGGGACTGAACTGAACACWTATCATCCAATCTGGACTTCTAGCCACAAGCTGAGCAAACAATCTTACACTGTCTGATTTTTACTGAACAGACTTTTCTGCCTGTGCCTTAACTACAAAATTGCTGCATGCTCATAGTTCACAGCATCTGACACTAACATGCACAAAAGAGCCTCAATCTTGTGTGAGACAACTAGAGTCAGCAAATGCAACCAGATTTATAAAGCCTAAATCAATTAATTAATCTCAGCAGATCTTTGCAAAACCTCTCCACAAGATGGATAGAAAATTTATCAGACTCTAAGCCACTGGTGGGTTAAGAATGACCCTTGGGTGTCTCCTAGAGCATCCTCCAGAATCCTGCTACTCAGTCAAGGATGGAAAAAGCAAACAAATCTTTAGAGGCTGAGAATCACTGAAGCTAAATTAGCATGTAATTTGTAACTTGGGAAGGAACTTTTGACAGATAAAATATTGGGCAACCTCTTCAACAGCAACACCTAGGTGATTTCAGACAACTGTCATTTTTTTGTCTGAAAATAAAACTACATTCAGCCTAGCCAAAGTAAAATTTACCAACAACTATATAATTTACCAGATAGAAACTCAGATATCATAAAGATTAAATGTCTGCTCAATAGCGCCGTGAATCTAACAATATGTAATTACCACCGTTATCTGSACTGTATTTTGCAAAGAGAGAACCTTTCTAAAGAACCTTCAAAGGTTCAGAACCTTTCTAAAAAAATACTAAATACCAAGAGATTACCTACAGGTAGAGCTGCCTGACAAGCTATTTATTACTGTTTTGCTTAACGTTGACACTGCACTGACATTGCACTTGGCACTTGGCAAGGCAGATTGAAATTTTTAGCTGTGCACCTACATTCAGTGTTTTATTATCCCCAAAGGAAAAAGACATTCAGTCATGTCCAAAATCTGCTACCTCACTCCATTATCCTAAAGACAGTCATCTTCCAGAGGACAGAACAAAGACAAGAAAAAATATCAATGTGGTGGCAGGTTTCTTGGTAAACCCACAATAACCATTCACACAAATGTAAAACAATAATATTCAAACATTTTGCCATGCATATGCATGATATCACTGCTTTTGAGCAAAGACACATATTCCTTTTATCTCTCATTGCATTTGGTTTTAAACTGTCATCTCCTTAGATCAGGGCAGGCATGCATGGCACCTAGCAAGATGAAGCCTCATACACGAGACCCAAAATGTTATTGCAATAATCAGAGGGTTCAGAGAACATGCAAGAAGCAAATACAAAGATCAGTGTTCCAAGAAGGAACATTTGATCACTCAAACAAAAAAATGCTTAGGGATTTACTTTACATTAACAAAGATTCTTCCTTAGTATTATATTACATAATACCAGGCAATGCTTTGAAAAGTCTCTAGCATGTTTTTGATACACATCTGTAATGACAGAAACTAAATCAAGTTATGTGCTATCCCCTCTTTATGCTTTCCTTCTCCTTCATCCCAATTCCAGCCTCTCTAAATGTAAATATACATCCATTTTTGTTCATGTGGGCAAGCAGAACATTTCAGACAAAGTCAGTACAGATCTGAACTCACAGATTCTCTGGTGGATATGACCAAGTTTTATTACTCAGTCCTGCAACAGTTCCACAGAATAGCACACACAACCTTTTGCTTTGTTTCCTTTTTTCTTTTATGAAGCACAGAAATCTAAAAGGATTTAGATTTTTTTCTTATTTCAGGAAGGTTAAGCAAGAGACAATTTTCTGTTTAAATCATTAGCAACCTTTCACTGTGGAAAATGCTGAAAAATTAGGTTTTGACTTGTTGCAAGACAGGTTCAGCCTTGGCATATTTCAAATAATATCCAAGTAATCATGATCCTTTTCTCATGCCTTATAAAGTTATTTTGGTTTTTTTTTTTATAAGTAATTGATTCATATTGTTTCAATGGACGGGATAAAGTTAACTTTCTTCAATTAGGCTTTCATTTTTCCTCTGAGAGAACCACTTTTCTAAGTGACAGAATGGTTGTAGGCACACTCTGGGGCCACTGTTTTCAAACTTGAAATTAATACAAATTGGATTAAGAAAAAGTTCAGTCCATTTTTGCCAGAAAAGAGCAGTTAAAAATTACAAAAACGTTCAGTATGTAATGCCCAGCATGCAAAACATTCCTCATTAAGCAGTTAAGGCTCTCAGTAGGCTGCTGGTTCCCTCTGTTCACAATATGAAGGCAACGTGCACCTAATTTTGCTGTTCTGTGTCAGCATCACATGTTCAGACAGTAGAGATTCCATCTCCCAGCTTGTCTGGTTGACAGGATCACCAGCCAAGCTCTGTTGTCAAGTTCCACTAATGTTCACAGTAAGTGGATTAATCATGTATTACTTGATTTTCAATGAAGCACACAAATCTACAATGACTGTGGGATGCCTGCAGATAATTTGTTGGAAGCAGAAAACCTTATGATTCGTACTTGCAATTCAGTGTCTCATGGGGGACTGAGTAGCTCAGAGTTTAAAGCAATTTCCAAATTGACAACCAATTTTACAACACCAAACTGAGGAGTCTGTGGATTAGCAGAACTTTTGAGTCCAAAGTCATGGGTTTACCTTGCACACAGCTCCTTAAGTGGCTTGAAAAGTTAAGGTCACTAAAAATTGTGGCTGCAAATGACCTGACAACATATCTCATAGGCCATGTCTGGCTTTCACAGTAGGAAAAGGCACATGGTCAGAGGCACTTCTGACCCAAATTTCATTTCCAAGCAATCCAAGACATGGGCCTGGCTGTTGTCCAGTGAAGGAGCCAGGGCCTTACTGCAGCCATTCTCAGGCTTAACAGCTTAGACAGAGCCCAAACAAAACAACAGCTGAGCTAGAAACTCATCTTCACACTCAGGTGTATTATACATATCCATAAAATTAGACTCCTATTACTCCATATTTAAAGTAAGTTTCATCTGTCCATCCTGCACCCTTAAAATTGGCTATTTCTACAAAATGATTTAGTGTTCCAAAATGGGCAGGACATAATCAGTGAAGAGGTTAATGCACAGTGAAGTGTTAATAGTCATAGCCATCGTTACTTCTTGCTTCATATTAAAGTTTTTAAATAAATTTTCTCACAGTATTTCACTGTTTTCCCATGAAAAGTTTGTATCTTTTCTGGACACAACTTGTTCTGGGGCTGGATCTCCACACCTCCTCTTTCAACTCCCCCTCACTATGCAATGTATATTTTCTAA